GGCAGAGTGGGAACGGAAGGGACAGGCAGGATGGAGGGGCGGCATCCCGCACGGCCCTCAGGCCGGCCCCGCACTGCCTGCTGGCCACCACAGCCTTCTCCCAACGTGCGGTCCCGCCCAGCCAGGAGGCCCCCCAGGGCCACCTCCCCTGCCGGGGCTTCCTGGCTGTGTAGCCTGGTCAAGTGGCTGCCCCAGGGCCTCCAGCGCCTTCCCTGCCCAGCAGGCATGTCAACTTCCGGGGCATGGCACAGGCAGGGGGCCCGCAGGGCAGAGCCCAAACCCCAGCTCCCCGGCCCACTGAGCGGCTCGCTTGCCTCACAGGCAGAGCGGGGCTGGGAGCACCAGCTTGGGGCGCCTGGGGAGGGGCCGGGGACACCCTGCAAGGGGCCGTCTCGGAGACCACACCGGAATCCTGGGGTCACAGCTCTGCCCCAGAGACCGGCGTCCGGGGCACCGGGAGGGCCGAGGGGCTCAGGGAGGGCCAAGTGGGGCGGCCACAGATGGTGAGCGGTGACGCGGGCAGAGGTGGCATGCCCGGCAGAGGGAACGGAATATGCGCAGGCCAAGAGCCCCAGCCTGCGGGCCTGCGCGGAGACGGGCCAGCAGAGGCCAGACAGGTGCTGCCGGGCACACGGCCCCGCCACCCCGGGAGGTGCATGGGGGAGGGGAGGTGCTGCGGCGGGGGCGGCAGCCAGGGCCGTCTGAGCGCCTGCAGGACCCCCGAGTGCAGTGATGCCGGGGCTGCCCCCCCCGAAAACTTGCATTTCATCAGGCACTGGAACCAGTGGCGGTCAGGCGCGGCGGGGCCGAGGTGCCCTCGTTGGCGCTCCGCCTGTGCCCACGAGTGACCCTCTCCTGGTGCTGGGTGGAGGAACCTGGCCAGGAAGGGACCTAGATTCTGGCTGACACTATGCAGGACCTGCTGGGTGACCCAGAGGCAGTCTGACCCCCCTGGGGGACCTCAGGGGGGGTCCAGCCATCCTGGGTGGGGCTCACGGGGCTCTGACCAGCCAGAGCCATCAGGCAACACTCTAAAGCAGATGCCATGGAACCAAGAATAATCAGAAAAATAAACAGACCCATGGCTCCCTTAATAGTGGCTATTTGGGCCTTGGAAGGCCATCTTGCCAGGGGTGCAGGCCCACATGGGTGCTTTGTGCCAAGAACCTCCATGGAGACAAACTCCAGGTCCAGAGAGGCCCACCAGCCTGGTCCCACCCCTGTGAGGGCCTAGGAGCAGGGGGACCTGGCTTTGATCCCCAGCTCCAGCACCTTCGCCCTGTGTGACCCAGGGAGCGTCACGCACCTCTCTGGGCCTCCATGTCCTGTCTGTCAAACCTGGACCGCTGCGCGGAGGCAGAGGGTCCAACCTGCGCTGCGCCCGTGGCAGGTCCTCCAAGCACCTCGGTCAGGCAGAGCTAGGCCTGGCCCCACACCCAGCCCTCCCTGCCCTGCAGTGGACAGCAGACCCCCAGGCGGCCCCTTGGCGCCCAGCGGTGGAGCCCAGGCCCCACTGCTGTCCCCTCTGTGGCCGAGTGGGAGATAGCCAGGCTGCACGATGGGCATCTGCTCAGCAGCCACGCGTCTGCAGAGAGCACGCGGGGGGGCGGGGGCTGGGGGCTGAAAGGAGCCTGGAGAGGCCGGGACACAGCCCTACCTGCCCAGGAGAGGAGGTCAGCAGGGCCCGGGCTTCCCGGGGGGCCTTGGCCTTGCGCCGCTGGGAGCACAGCAGCGACCCCGCAGCTGTGAGTAGGGGCAGCGGGGCGCACGGCCCCCATGAGTGCGTGTGGCCATGCGGCTGGACAGAGGGGAGCCCCAGAAGCGGGAAAGGACAATGGAGTCGGGGAAAGACGCTCCTCTTCTGCTTCGGGACGGCTCCCTGGGTCTGAGCCTCCCCGAGGCCAGGGGAGCCCCGCACAGCGCACTGTGGGCGCCCGGGCCCAGCCGTCCTCAGGGAGGAACAGGACTTTCTCTCCCCTCCCAGGCTATATTTAGAGGCTGAGCAGGAGGGGCCCTTGGGGAGTGGGCCCTCCGTCACTGCCGGCAGAAGGGGCTGCTTCTGGTGCCCCGCCTGCCCTCTCAGGGTCAAGGACCTGGCTGTGGGACGCCCCCGGCAGAGCCGGGTTCGAGTCCTGGCGGAGAAGGCCCGGAGGCCAGACGGGAGGAGCGACACCTCCGCAGCAGCAGCCGAGGCCCCTGCGAGTCTTCTGGGAAACTGCGGGGAGAAGGAGCTGTCCTTCCGGCACTTCACAGGCAGGAAGACTGAGGCTCAGAGGGCACTCAAGCCCAAGCCCGTGCTGGGTAGTGCTGTTGTTCCAACCCTCCCACAACGCCCGGCGCCTGGCCATCACCCGCAGGGACGTCCCGCGCCTTGCCACGGGGGCGTGGGCGTGCTGAGAACATGGAAGGGGGCCAGGGCCACTGCTGAGTGGTCAGAGACCCCCAGAAGGGCACGGGCTTGACAAAGCAGGCTCCGGGGTTGGGAGGGGGAACATCCCGTACAATAGGGGCTGAGGCAGTGGGGACCAGTGGGGAAACCGAGGCCCAGAGAGGGAATGACCTTCCAGAGGCCATGCGGGGGCAGGCGAGAGGCTCGGCACAGACACCCCCAGCCCGGCTCCTGCCCAGGCCCCGGAAGGGACGGCGTGGACCTCCGCGGGCCGCCTGCCCAGAAGGCCCCGCTCCGTGGGCAGACAGGGCACGGGGCCTGCAGTCTCCTGTCGGAGCTCGGCACCCTTCCAGACGGAAGGGTCGTGAGTGGGTGCCCCCGAGAGAGGGGCCTCCGGACAACGAAATCGGTGCGAGGCGGAGGGCCGGGGCTGTGGGGCGCGGGGTAGCAGGGACAGAGAGAGCCAGGCCCAGCAGAGGGACAGGGAAAGGGGCAGTGGCTGGGGGAGGCCGGAGGCGAGGGCCAGGCTGGGGCCAGGGTCGGGGCTCAGTGTGACAGCCTAGAGACCGGGCTCGTCGTGGTCCTGAGATGGCGGCTCAGTGTGCGGCAGGTAGGGGCTCCGTCCGTGGCCGAGATCAGAGTCGGCTTCGTTTGGGGTCAGGGCTCAGGCTCGGAGCCGAGAACCAGCGCGCGCTTGGCCGACAGCCCCCCTCACCGGCGGGGCCCCGGGGGTGTCCAGGGCGCACCCCGCCCCGCAGCCCTGCCCAGGCGCCCGGTGCCCCTAGCGAGTTGCTGGCCGGTGCGCGTGGGCCCTGGGGAGCTTCCAGGCAGTGTCTTCCAGAGAACCCGGGCTGTGCTGTTTACTATTTGTCTCTGATCATGACCGTGATGACGGCCTGGCGCAGACCCGTGGGAAACTGAAAAGCATGGGGAGTCCCCAAATCCTTGCACCGGCCCCCGGGGTGCCGCCTCCCGAGTTTGGGAGGCACGGTTTTCTCACAGCCCAGGAGGGACACGTGGGAGGCATCTTCCCCATCTCCCCCTCCCCCAGCGACCTCCTCCCCCATCTCTCACGCCACAGGACGGGCCCACAGCCCCCACGCCCACAGGAGGGCTCTCCCCGCCCCGTGTCCCCACACTCCCTGTCCCCCTGCACTGCATCCTCTGACCCTGTTAGGGGCCATCGGTCCCGAGCACAGGGCAGCCCGCCCCGAGGACCGTGAGCCGAGGCCTGGGCCCAAGGGCGCTGGGGCCGGCCGGGGGACTGGGCAGAGGGGCTGGGGCACAGGCCCGGCAGCGCCGACCCCGCCCAGCACCCTAGGCCTGCAGAGGCAGCGGCTCAGCTCGGCGACCTCGGGCGGGTGCTGACCTGTCTGAACCCAAGGGTGGAGGCGGCCACCCAGTCCGCCCAGCGTCCCCCAGGCCGGCCTGGGGTCTGAGCCCCAGCTGTGGAGGGCGCCTCTCCTGGGCCCATGCCCGCCCCCTACAGGCAGGACTAGGAGTCCTCGCGCCACGGGTGGAAGCTGCCAGAGAGGGCCAGCGGCCGGCGGGGCGGGCAGTGTCCGGCCTGCTCGCTTCCCTCAGTCCCTCCGTCACTCGTCACTCGGGGAGAGGAGGGTCGGCCCGGCGCCTGCAGGTGGGGGAGGGCGCACTGAGTCCAGGACGAGCTCACGCCGGCCCTCCTCCCTGCTTCTCCCCAAAGCCCTCTCCTTTCCCCTGAAAAAGCCAGAAATGTCCTTATTTGGAGACCAGCCCGCAGGGTGGGGCTGGGGGCTGTTAACCCTTCCTTTATAAATAAAAGGATAAATCTCAGCAAGTTAAACAGCTCAGCAGGAAGATAAACAGAGTGGGCAGCCCCAGCCCAGCCCCCACCCGCCCCCACCAACGTGTCTGGGCCCCCAGGCGTGGATGGCGGGAGCGCAGCGTTTATTTAACTGACACCTCCTCGCCCCCGCCGCCCTGGGACCTGGCTCCAGCTCTGGCCCCGGTGAGCCACTCGGCGGGGCCACCCGCACAACTAGGGATCTGGCCTCTAGGGGCTGGGGCAACAGGGGCACCCAAGCACTGGCTCTCGGCCCCCTCCCCGCCCCGGGAAAGGCCCCGAGCAAGGACCCCCATCCAGGGTGTCGACCTGGTGCCAGCGCTGGAGGAGGCGGGAACAGACGAGCAGCCGGAGGACAGGGCCAGGCTGCACAGGTCGGGTAAGCGTCCGGGTGGGGCCCCCGCGGCCAGGCTGCGAGCGGAACACTGGACTCTCTGGCACCGGCCCTGCGCCGGGCGCCGCTGGGCTCTGTGAATCATCCCGCGGCTCAGGACACGGGCGCAGCGGGGCGCGGCCATTTGCCCACGCTGCACGGAGAGTGAGAAGGGGGCCCCACCCCCTCGGCTGTGCCACAGCCATCACCTTTGTCTTCTAGGGCCTGGGGCCCGAGGACCTGCTCCGCAGGCGTTTGCACCTCCGGCTACGGAAACAGCCACAGCCCCAGGCCAGCGAGGGCCAGGGCCGGGGGACCAGACAGGGCAGGCATCGCGGGCAGGGCTTGCGCACCCCGGGGTGACCCCATCTCTTTCTCCCCAGGCCTCGGGCGAGCGTGGGCCAGCCGCCGCCGTCATGCCCTCTGCGTCCCCTGCGGGGCCCTCGACCTGGGCGTCCCCCAACGCCACCACGGCGGGGGCGCCAGCGGCCAACCTCAGCGCGCCCGAGAGGCCGCTGTTCCACCTGTTCGCCGTGCTGGACGAGGAGCTGCACGCCAGCTTCCCGGGCCTGTGGCTGGTCCTGATGGCCGTGCACGGGGTCATCTTCCTGGTGGGGCTGGCGCTGAACGGGCTGGCGCTGTACGTCTTCTGCTGCCGCACCCGGGCCACCACGCCGTCCATCCTGTACACCATCAACCTGGTGGTGACCGACCTGCTGGTGGGCCTGTCGCTGCCCACGCGCTTCGTGGTCTTCTACAGCACGCGGGGCTGCCTGCGCTGCGCCTTCCCGCACGTCTTCGGCTACTTCCTCAACATGCACTGCTCCATCCTCTTCCTCACCTGCATCTGCGTGGACCGCTACCTGGCCATCGTGCAGCCGGAGGGCTCCCGCCGCTGGCGCCAGCCGGCCTGCGCCCGGGCCGTGTGCGCCTCCGTGTGGCTGGCGGCCGGCGCCGTGACGCTGTCCGTGCTGGGCGTGACGGCCAGCGGCGGGCCCTGCTGCCACATCTTTGCGCTGACCGTGCTGGAGTTCCTGCTGCCGCTGCTGGTCATCAGTGTGTTCACGGGCCGCATCATGTGCGCGCTGTCACGGCCGGGGCTGCTGCGCCAGGGCCGCCAGCGCCGCATGCGGGCCATGCAGCTGCTGCTCACCGTGCTGGTCATCTTCCTGGTCTGCTTCACGCCCTTCCACGCCCGCCAGGTGGCCGTGGCACTGTGGCCCGATGGGCCACGCCACACCAGCCTCGTGGTCTACCACGTGGCCGTGACCCTCAGTAGCCTCAACAGCTGCATGGACCCCATCGTCTACTGCTTCGTCACCAGCGGCTTCCAGGCCACCGTCCGCGGCCTCTTCAGCCGGCGTGGGACAGAGCGCGAGCCCGCCGTTGGCGAAGTGGTCAGCCTGCGCAAGGGCTCCAGGGGCTCGGGCCACCAGCCAGCCCTCGGCACCGGCCCTCGCGCCCTCACGCAGGCCCTGGCTAATGGGCCCGAGGCATAGTTGGGAGGACCCGGCCAGGAGGCTGAGGTCAGGGCCGCGCTGAGCGCGCCAGGTCACGGCCGGCCCTGTCTGGCCGGCAAATTGGCTTCGCCCCGGTCAATTGGTGATGACTGCCCAGGGCACAGCGGGGCGATCCCAAGGCCACTGTGCTCTGGCCAATGAGCGATGTCTGCCGCGGGCTCCAGACGGGGCGCGGCGCCCTGAACGCTGATGATTCGCTACCCCCGGAGGACACGTTGGGCCTCTGAAAACTGAGAGGGGTAGCCCGGAGCTCCTTCTTGCCCAGGCCGCTCTGTCCCCAGAAGGGGACCCTCAGAAAAGGGAACAAAGATATTTTTTGCACACTGGGGATTCCAAGGAGAGTTTAAACATCCACCTGAAGAGGTCCTCTCCCCTTTCCTGTCCCCGCTTCTCCCTCCCGTCCCCTCAGAGAGAACATGCGTGGAAAGGAAACGTCGGGGGGCATGGCATCACGAGTGGCGTGAGGGGCTCGGGTTTGGGCAGGACCCCCTGCCGAGGCGTCCCTGATTTGCATGCTAAGACCACAGGCCACCCGGCGGGCGCCTTGCTCCGAGCCAGTCCTTGGATCTCTGGCTGGCACTTGAACCGGCCGCTACCCCACAGAGGAGAGGCCGCTTCCCCGCCACCCGCCATGCAGGGAGGGCACGCGGCAGGCACAGCACCGCGGCCGGGTGGGCCGGGTCCGAATCCGAGCCCAGCCCCATGCGCCCCAGGCACGCCCTGGGCCTGCCCTGTGGCGGCTGCTCAAACCTTCCCCAAGCCCCCTTTCCAGGAAGGCTCTCAAAGACCCTGCCTGCTGTCCAGGGGTGGCGGGGCTCATGGCCTCCCTGTAGGGATGAAGGCACCAGGAACAGGGACGCAGTCTCTCTGGCCACAGGTCGCCCTTCCCCTACACAGAGCCCTTCCCTCTCCCTGGGCAGCAGGGGCAGCGGGGGCTCGGGGCTCCAACAGCTGCCCTCCCTGGGCTCATCCTGGCTCTGCCTCCTCTGTCTTGGGTTTCTGGTTGCCTCCTCCGGCCTGGACTCCTGGACTGCCTCCGCTTGCCTTCTGGTCCCCAGGTCTGCAATCTCGCCGTCCAGCCGGGGCTCCTCAGGGACTGCAAGGGCTTCAGGGGAGGACACTCGGGCTGGGGAGCGGTCAGCCCCTCAGGCTCCAGCAGGGGGCTGCTGTCTCCCGGGTCTGGGGCCGGAGCTGGGGGCTGACCTCATACCCTTGAGAGCTCAGACTGATGGCCCCTCTGCAGGACCCTCACTCGTCAGACCTCTGTTTCCCCATCTCCATGCCGACCCTTGGCCTTGCCACCGGAGGGGGCGGGGGCTGGGCCCCCACGCTCCCACAGACGCTTGCACCTCCCCCTGAGCCTCAGGGGCCAGACCGGGACGCTCCCTGGTCCCCGAAGGGCCAGGGTGCGAGGTCTCTGCCTCCCCCTCCTCACAGCCTCCGTTCCAGACTTTCCGAACGCCAAGTGACGTGAGATGGCATGTGTATTTATATCTGATATAAACAGTCCCCTTGACAAGAAGCCTTCGTCCTAAATTAAACCTGTGTGTCCCCTTTGTGCTCTTGACTCAGCTGGCGGGCAGGGTGTCGGGGGGGCTCTGAGCCAGGTGGCGGCCTGTGAGGGACCCCCGCACTCACGGCCCTGCGGACAGTCGGGGGCTCCCAGGAACGGCTGTGGGGGCGGGTTCGAGGCTCTGCCATGGCTGACGGGGCCAGCTGCTCCAGGGCAGGGGGTGGAGGGTGCGGTGGCAGGTTTGTGGGCAGGCGGTGGGCACAGTCACGGGGCAGGGGAGCCGACCACTGGGACGGTGGGTCCTGGAGGGAGAGGGAGGAGGGGACAGGCCCGGGAGCTGCCGCCCGTTGGGGGTGGGGGACTGTGGCAGTACCTGTGGGCTTACAAGGTGGCCCCGAGTTGTCCTTTTCTCAGAATCTCCCCATGAGCCCAGGGCATCAGGATTCTCACCCTCATGTCGCAGACGGGGAAACTGAGGCACTGGACCTCCGGCTCCCCGTTGCTGCCTCACACACCGGGAGGTGTGGCGTGGGAGGGCGCTGGCGGGACGGGCTCATCACTCTCACTGTCTGGCACCCTCTGAGGCCGGAGGCATCTGGACGTAAATATTAGGGCGTGTTTAGATTAGGCTCCATTAATAGCAGGAAGTGTCGCGGTGGCGCCCGCATGCACGGCTCCTGCAGGCCTATGACGCCTGAGGCGGGAGCCAGGCGCCCGGCGAGGATGGATGTCCCATCCTGCCGTCCTGGTTTAGACTCCACACTGGCGATGCCTCCAGTCGTGTGAAACTCCCCCTCCGTGCCAGCCGCTGCCACGTCCTCACACCCTTGAGGGGTGGTTCCCACGCCTGAGGGTCCTGTGTTCCCGATTCACAGGGCAGGAAGTGGAGGCTCAGAGTGGTCCTGGGCCTGGCTGACCCAAGGCTCCCAAAGGCCACCTGCAAAGGGAGCTAGACTTCCAACCCAGACCTGCCAAGCCCAAGGCCAAGGCCACCCCCGTCCCTGGGCCCCTTAACGGAACCAGGGAAGCTGTGGGCAGGGGGGCGGGGACCCGTGGGCCAAGTGTCCGCAGAGGGGAGGTGCCCCTGGTGCAGGCGGGAGGGGAAGGGGAAGGAGGGGACAGGACAGGGCTGGGGAAATGCTCCCTGCAGCCCGGCCTAGGCCCCTGCTCTTTCCCTGCCCCCTCCCCAAGTCCCATAGGACCGCCTGTCCCTTAGCACCTCCCCTGCCTTGCAGTCTGTCCCACGTCCTCCGCTGGCAGCCCCTCCCCCATCCTGCTCTCGGGGCACCCTAGGGGTCCGTTCTGTTCTGTGCCTTGGTCTGCCCTGGGGACCCTCCCAGCTCCGCCATCTGTAAGGGGGAGCCCCGGTCCAGACGGCGGGAGCCCTGCCTGGCCCCCGCCAGGAGAGGCAGCAGAGCCTGGTGGGGCCTCAGCCGCACCCCTGCCCCACTCGGGGCCCCACTCTCCTCATCTGGAATCAGAGCGCAGAGCACAGGGCGTCCAGCCTGCCGGGGCCCTGCTGCTCTGCCTGCCCACCCGGCGGAACTGCACACGCGCCTCCCAGGGGGCCCAGCCAAGCCACTCTGGTTCGGACACCAGCCTGAGGCTCTGCCGCCCCTCCCCCTGCGGCCCCCAGCTTCCAGGGCAACAGCGTACGGACGAGGAGGCGGGGGTGTCCTGGGCAGAGAGGGGGCCTCACGGAGTGTGGGGTCCTCTGTCATATTCCAAGCCAGGGACGCCTTCCCGAGGTAGTTCCTGACAGAGCGGGGGCTCCTGAGGGGGTCCCAAGGGGGCAGCAGTGGGGCATGAACCTGGCGGGAGGGGCAGGCTGGGTGCACGGTGCCCTGCCCTGCGCTGAGCCATCGGGGCCCCTCCTGCGGCCCCAGGAAGACCTCAGCGCGCCCAGCGTTTCACAGGGCCTGGGACCCACAGCCCTGCACCCTGTGGGCCCCAGGTGTCCAGACTGTGCTGGTGGCCTCGGGACCCCTTCACGGAGGAGCCCTGGGACCCGAGGGTCTTCCTCCGGCCCACCCACCCCCATGAGGGCCCCCTCCCAGCGGCCTGCTGGGGGTGCTGAGAGTTGAGATCTAGTTCATGGGGGGAGGGGTCCGAACCCCACCCCTCCCCGTCCCCTCCAGGGCCAAACCCAGGGGGGAGGCTGGGTGCGGCTCCTACGACCCCAAGGCCCGAGGCGCACGGGGGTGCAGGGCGCCACTGCCCGGCCCAGGGCGGGCGCTGCAGGCCACGGGGTGTCCCATGCCCGCCAAGCCCCCAGCAACGCCAGCTGCTTGGAGCTTGAGGGTGTCACGTGCCATCAGTTCCTCTTCCCTCGGGGGAGGGGAGGGATTGACACCTTCTGCCTTGAGGGGGGGTTGGGAGAATTAAACAGTCACCATAAGGAAAAAAGAAGTTAAACGCTAGTCTGTGTGTGTGCAAGTACTGTTGTGTGTATACGTGCACTGTGCGTGGGGGTGTGTGCGCGTATGATTAGGTGCACGTGCACAGTGTGTGTGTATTAAACACGCATGGGCGTAGCAACGCACTTGGTGCTCAGCAGGCCGTGGTCAGTGATTATTAGCCTGAGATAACAGAAGAAGCGGGGCGCCCGCGGAAGGGCCGGCACATCCATTCACTTCCTCTCATTCATCCCGCAGCTCCCTTCCCCCTCCCTGTGCGAGGCGCAGTCGGAGGATCTGGGTCCCCACCGCACGTACACCGTCCCAATGGTTGAGGCCCCTCTCTCTCACAAGCGCCTGCGTTAAGCCCTGTCTCCGGGCTTCCCCGGGAACCTGCACACACCTGGCAGGGGCTGAGCTGAAGGCACATTCGAGGCTTGGTCCCGGATTGCCAGGTTCTCTGAGCTGCCAGTGACCTTGGGCAAGCCCCTCCCTGCTGATCCGCTAGAAGTGCCCGCAGTTGGACCAAGGTGTGTGGAGGCCTGCAGCCACCAGGTGGCGCTGCTGGCCTGGGAGAGGCAGGGCCCCTCCACCTGGCCTGCACCCCCTGACCCTCGCAGGGGTAGCCCTGGAGCCGGCAATCCTGGAAAGCTCCTTGGAGGATTGGAGGTGCTGCAGCTTCCCGGTCCACCTGGGAAGGAGAGGGAGGGGGGTCAGGGAAACCCAGGCCCCTGGCTCCAGGTCTGCCGCTCCCTGCCTGCCAGAGGGGAGCTGGGCCGCAGACAGGGGAGGTCAAACGGTGAGCCAGCCCCACCCCGTGGAACAACACCCGACTTGACGTCACATCGTTCGCCATCTCGTGAGCCCAGAGCGGGCCGGACGCCTGCCTCGGCTCACACCGCCCGGCGGCCAGCAGCGGGCAGCCGAGTGGCTCCCCGTGTGCGCAGGCAGGAGACGCGCCAGGGGGCTGGGATGTCCTGGCAGAAGCGCCCTGGGTTTGCAGCTGCAGCCCTGGCCCCTGCCCCGAGCCCAGGCAGTGAGGAAGCAGGAGACAGAGAGATGGTGGGCAG